GCTATCTTACTGTGTCCTGCCCAGGTCATGAATCATCTTTTTTGTCTGGTGTTTCTGTGCTGTATATGCTACCTGCCCATGAGTTAGTTGCTTAGTAACCATCCAATCAGCTGATGTTGTATCCCAGTGCTTGTGTTCAAGTAGCCCTTATTTTACTCAATAATGGCCCCAAAGTGCAAGGGTAGTGGTGCTGGCAATTCAGATATGCCAAAGAGAAGCTGAAATGTGCTTCCTTCAAGCAAAAAGGTGAAAGTTCTCAATTTAATAAGGAAAGAAAAAATATTGTATGCTGAGGTTACTAAGATTTACAGTAAGAGTGAATCTTTTATTCACATAATTGTGGAGAAAGAAAAAAAATTTGTGCTAGTTTTGCTGTCACTTCTCCAACCCCAACAGTTACAGCCACAGTTTGTGATAGGTGCTTCGTTACGATGGAAAAGGCATAGCATTTGTATAAGACGTGAACAGAAATGTGTACCAATTGATGGCAATGTGTTGTGCCCAAAAGCATTGAGCCTATACAAAGGCATTCCTTGAAACAAGTAAAACCAAGCCATTTACTGCAAGTAAGGGATGGTTACACAGATTCAGAATAGGTTTGGACTGAAAAATATAGAAGTCATTGGAGAGACTGCATCTGCCAGTGAAGAAGCTGCTGCCACATTTCCAGCAGAGTTGAAGAAGTTGGTTAAGAGAAAGGATACCATCCAAAGCAAGTCTTCAGCTGAGATGAAACCGGGCTCTTCTGAAGAAGATGTCCAATAGAACCTACAACCAGCTAGCTGCAAATAAATAAATAAATAAATAAGAATCTGCATTCATAAATGTGCAAAGGAGGAACCAGGGCATAAAACATGGAAGGACAGGTTAATTCTGGTAATATATGCCAATGCTGCAGGGCATATCATAAAGTCAGGAGTAGTGTACAGAACAAAGGACTCACACACTCTCAAAAACAAAACCAAAAATTATCTGCCCCTGTTCTGGCAACATAATCAGAAAGCATGGGTGATGACCATCTTGTTTATCCACCAATGCTTCATCCCAGAAGTGAAAAAATACTTGGGAGAGGAAGGGTTAGGATTTAAAGTCCAATAACAATAGACAATGCACCTGACCATCCTGAATCTGTTTGCTATGAAAATGAAAATATCAAGGATATATTTTTACCTAAAAAATACCACCTCATTGCTTTAGCCCTTGACCAGGGCATCATTCAGTTTGTCAAGGCCACATACACCCACCTGGTATTTGATTACCTTTGATCAGCAATTGATGCAGACTTTAATATGGATACAATGCAGTGCTGGTAATCATTCACTATTGCTGATACAATAACATCCATCAAAGCTGCGATGGATGAATTAAAAGCAGAAACATAAATGCCTGCTGGAAGAACTTATGAAGTGAAGTCATGAATAATTTTAAAGGCTTCCCAGGGATCAATGGAAAAGTTAGGAAAATCATTCATGCAGCAAGATAAATTGGTGGAGAAAGATTTGCTGACATGCCTGATGGAGAAGTAGAAGAATATATTGAAAGCTATAGAGAAGTGTTAATAAATGAAGAATTGGAAGATCTTGTTAAGTCATCTACCAGGAAGAGGAAGATGAAGAGACACTGAAGCAGAAGTAGCATTGTGGACAGTACCAAAATTTGCCGAACTGTTTCACATTGCACGGACATGAAAGGACAAAATTATGGAATATGACCTTTGGATAAAATACAATTTTTTTTTTTTTTTTTTTTTTTTTTTTTTTTTTTTTT